ACTCACATGAAAAGGGCTCAAGGAAGTCCTGAACAGTGAGTATGTAGAGCATTTTTATAACCCTGAGGTGCTCGAAGAAAAAGGCAAAAATGGAAGAGGGTGACTAGCAATAAAAGGTGGCCGCTACCTCCAGCACCACCGAGAGATCCTATCTTGAATGGTAAGCAGTGCAGGCGAATCGGCCCTGTCATCCCAGTGAAGTCGATTGGTTGATCTCGAAAATCCTAAGCAAGAATTATCTCTTATATACAGCTTAAAATTACTTTTCAAAAGTATGTAGCCTTGCATACCGCTACCACAATCCTGAGTGTCAGGCGGGTACGTGGCGTATTCTAGAGAAGTGCCAGAACTTTGCCGATGGCACTAGTGATAGCTTGACTTGATCGAGCTTTAAGAAAAAGCTTCGATTAAAGTTTTAGCACTCCAAAGACAGGGGGTCAACGTCTAGCAGTGCCAGTGGTATGCGCCACATTCTCGAATTTCTGCTTGGAATTGCCGAAGCACTTGAGAGCTGGTTTCTCATAAAACACGAGTCACCTGCATCCGACAAATTTTCGATGAGTGTTTTCTTTTCCTTGGTAGTTTACTACAATTAGTAGAAACTAACTGGAGGAACCCTTCTCGATTACAAACACTCATCCAGTTGGTGTCCTATGAAAACAGTTTAATGTTTTCACTGGCAAGCAGGATAGCAGCGATGTTGACCAAGACACCTCTGTTTGCTGCCAATCTCAAGCAAAGGTGTTTTCTTTCGTTTTCAGTAGACCGACCTCTGTTCTTTGCAACTAATCCGTTCTCCGGAACGCTTGGGACGTGTGCTCGTGCAAATCTGAGTGGAACACTAGTTGATTCAAACTTTTGCTTTTCCAGCTCACTGTTCGAATACCGTGTGGATTTTTCTTGCTAAACCCTCAAAATTTTCTTTATTATTATCCCAATTTGGAAATGACGGGCGGTAGCAGGGTGGTTGAGGTGAAATCTTTTATCAGAAGGCATAGTGGCGATCAATTAGAGATGGAAACTCATAAATTATTACATCTTCTCATGAAATACTTTTTTTCATTGAGCTTCATGCGCCATAGTGATTACTGAAGTTTTCTCAGAATGATCTCATACTCCTTTCGATTTCCCTCGGCAATTTTCCGACAAAATCCCATTAGAACCTCTTCTATGTCTATAAGGTGTGGTCGTGAACGTCAGCGGCTTCCTCGGAGTGAGATGGAGTTGTTACGACCTGGATGTAAGCTGTTATATTGGTGCTATAATGCGTAATGCGTATGTGGCCTATACAATGACTTACGGTGGCCAGTCGATGTATAAAAGTCAGTGCTTTTAGACAGTTAACCGTTCCTTGAAGGCTATGAGGCTCAATCGCCCTATTGCGGTCCGGATTTCGATACACGGGCTATGCGCTTTGAGATTAAATGTTATAAGACTTTTGACTTTTGACTAAATCGTCACCGTAATCCCGTTTGTCATGGCTCTGGATAGGGGATGGCTGTATTACCAGTCTCTGAGGACACACTCCACGCGCAATTCTTTTACGGCATCACAAAATTCATAGGCTTCGACGCCAAACCGACGGCTGTTGAACAAAACCGGTCATTGTCCTCTTATCTCTACCCATTATACCACTATCAGACGAGTAATGGCGCATTTTTCTTCAAAATAACATTGTAAAGAGCTCGAATCCCGACTCCAACCCTCCTTCGCTGTTATTTTGTCCTGAAGCAGTGAATGGGAGAGTTATTGGTCCGGGATACTCTCTAGACCTCACGTCAGTTGTTTGATCCGTGCTCCTNCTTAAAGGGATGTTCACTGCAGGAGTGTTAAGTCAGAGGCTTTAAGGAGTATCGGGATCCGTGGAGAGGCAGAAACTGGCAGTCATCAGGTGCTGGATAACGCTTGACGACCACCCTGCTTCGAAAATCAACTATCGGTGTTTGCTCTAAAGGGAACAAAAAGTGTTATGACCATCCAAAGTGGCCATAAGAATTTTTTGATCCATTTTATGACAATGGAACCATAAGAATTTCGTTGAAGTAACGATAACGTCGCCGGGTATGCTCTTTACCGCGCCTCTCCTTTAGTTTTCTTATTTTCCTTTTCATCTTTGTCTTTACCTTATGAAGGATGATGCCAGAGAACCACATGTGGTCTTGTTACTGACACAATCGATGAGCCAGAATTCGGATTAATAATCAGCTAGATCAACCATGATTTTCCAGTTTCCACAACCAGCTAATTATTTTGTGAATATACTTGGCTTATTCCGGAATTTGAGAACTGGGATCTTGACCGAAAAATATCCGGGACATTGGGGCTGCCCCAGTACTCAAGGTTTCAGCTAGAAGATGATTGGTAATTCAGTTATGCGGCAGGACCAGAGCTACCATATCCAGTCACCCTTCATATAGTCCACATAGCTTCAGACGTAAGTTCTGTTAGGCAGAGGAATCAATTTGTAATCGATATTGGTTCGAAAGTTCGTAGACAAGTAGAAAAATCCTCGATGAAGGAGGGATTGGAGGGGAGGGGAGGGGAGGAGGAAAGGGGTTGAAATGTTTCGCTGGGGCTCCTAAGTACGTACATACTTCCTTCCCGTCCCGAAATACTCAAGAAACATGAGCAAAAGTAGAGGTAGGGGAGCGCACATATAAGCCGACCTCTGATTGATCTGTCTTGCACTCAGTAAGGAGTTCTAGATAGCAAGAGCGCAACATTCATCAAATTGGTCATCTGAGTCCATGCCGGCTTATGACTCTTATCGATGAAATCGCCTTAACTCGAACAAATCGTTTCAGAAGTCCTTGACATCGATCGATTCTATTTCGGAAAACGCCACGCTTGCCAGCTACCAGAAAAAAAAATTTGGTTTTATCGAATTTGCTACCGATATCTTCAAGATCGGCCCATTAACTCAAAGAAGTTCATTAACCACTTGTTCATTGGTTCCCGCAATGTAGCAACCCCCCCTTCCAGATATCAAGACCAATTTTTCGCTCATCAGGCTGACCAATTTTGTGGTCTCGTTGTGAGTGCCCAGAAATTGAGTGTTTTCCGGACCGTTTTTCTCGTATCAATTTTAAAAGCACAACAGGCAGTGACAGCAGCTGTCAAAAGGCCAAAAGTACAGTCGTCAAATTCGGAACTGATAAAAACAGCTTTCACACCTCCATATTCTTATCAGTCATAGGGCTTCAATTCGTTTTTACGATTGCAACCCCTTAAAAATAACTATATCTCATAAACACTTATTACAGATAGCAATCTGGGACGGATTGTACCCCTCCTCTCCCGTTCTACCCCTTTCCCCTCTCCATGATAGTTGCCCGAATCAATCAATAATTGATCTGTTAACAACTCTTCTTGGCAGCACCTCAGAATTCGATAATATAATATGAATGTTCTAAAGTTTAGTGGAATTCTCTGAAAAGGTCAATAACTCGTTGAAAAGTGAGTAAGCATTAGAGAGATTGTGAAAGTACTACTGGCGTATGGCTGTTTATCTCGTTTGAGCGGATCATACCGCAACATTGGAACAAAATTCTCTGAAATCTGTCACGAATAGCCTGCCGCAGCCCATTTTTGTTATACTTTCTGAACAAACTAGCTATCATCTGCACCCTCGGTATTCCGTGTACAAGCCTTTCCATTTCCGTAAAAACTCAAATGCTGGAGATTTGAGTTATTCTTATTCTTATCGTTTTATCGCACTGTTGAGTATCTTATCTTGGAAATCCGTTCTTTCTAATCAAAACCGCAATGCTACGATGATTAAAGTATCTTTTTTATTTTTTCTTTAAATTTCCTCCAGTCAAGAGAGGTAGTTCAAACAGGTGTGGCTGGTCTTACGACGTAGTTCTCCTGCTTGAATTGAGTCATCAACCATTGCCAATTCTAAGCGTGTGTCACAGATCCTACTAAAAAAGAGATAATTATTAGACGGGATGTGGTTCGTGTTCTGAAGAAAAATTAAGAGGATCTTACTACCATATTTAGCTTGTGGCCCCGTATAAAATCACTGTTTTTTCCTTGTTTTTGTTTTTAACGAAAGCTTCGTCAGTGAGAGGCTCGAGAAAAACTGTTCGCTGGGGTTTTTCATTAGCCTCCTAGAAATGTCTAGTGAAAAAAGCGGGCTTAACCTATTTACAGAAATAAGGAAAAGAATCGAACAAGCAGCAAGAGTGGTCAATTTCTCATGTGTTCCTGAAAGCGGACAAAAACAACTAATTAAAATAACTTAATTTGAACTTTTAATCATTGAGTTATTGAGATCAATTCCATTTGGAAGGAAAGAAGAGTTCATAGAAGGGGATATAATATAAACAGAAATCAATAAATAATCACAATAAAAGTGAATAATCAATACAAAACGTGTCAGGTACAGATTGTTTGAGTAAATCTTACCCAAGATTCCCACAGTGAGAAAGAAAATTGGAAGTTATTCGTCTCATCGATAGTTCATGTATCTGATTANGCCTTTTTTGTCGACGCTTCCTGCAAATTTTTCGGCTACTCGCTCAACCCTGCTAGCACCCACACGCTATGCCTCTTTTCATGATGCGCCCTCTTTTCAATTTCCAGTCCTCTATCGCGCAAAGCCTATAATCATAGTGACATCTATCATCCTTCATACAGATCAAAGTCTGACGTCTCACTTTGCGCTGTATGGTATTTTCCGTTGAGCAGTTTTACCCTATTCAGACCATATCGGCAGTCGGCAACGGTTTTCAGCTACCGTATTCCATAACAAGCGCTAACCCAACTCGTCTCACCAACATCGACGGAAACTAACTGCCCCCCGACTACCAACGACGCCATCCCTATCGTCTAAGGCAGCAACATCATGAAAGGCGTCCGTTCATTTCGTTCATCTTCAAAGGTTTTCTTATTAGTATCTAGTTGTTAGAAAGCAATTTAATTAGTCATTTAGGATTTTCAAATAATTCAAAAAAGTTGTAATCAGTAAACTTAAGTCATAAGCGCTTCGATTTTAGATGGCGTCATGGTTCCGGAAGAACTTGCTGTTGGTGATGACCATCGGGTCCGTGATCGTTGGTGCTTTACTCGGGTTTGCCGTTCGTTCTCTGCATCTTTCACCACAGGTAACATCTTTACCATAATCTACCAGTTTCTTTTACGGCCTCTTATTAAAGACAATCTATTTTCTCCCAGTTGTAAAGAAAATTAAGGGATTCTTAAATCGCCTAACGGTTTTCATTCATGAAAGGTCAATCTCAGTCTTTTGCTCCAGTTGTACCCGTCATGTCAGACTACCGAACCACTTTATCTTCCCATTTTTTATACTGTTCAAAAAAAATGCTGTCAATCATTGCAGAGATACTGTACAACAAAAAAGCAAGGCTGGAAAAAATTTTAAAAATTAAATCAATCATTCAAGTTTCACCTTCACTTTCGGATTGTTTGTTTTCAGACGATCATGTTGGTGAGCTTTCCTGGAGAATTGCTGATGAGGATGTTGAAAATGATGATTCTTCCACTTATTATTAGTTCTCTCATCTCAGGTGAGCGACCGATATTAATGGTTACCAGAAAATCGTTTTGAGTGGTATATGTGCCAATTTTCATAATTCATCTCATCCTTCACACGAATGACAAAAAAATGTGACTGACTGTGCGGGAAGGTCTATGGGAGTGGTACTTGTTCATGAGTCATCCTACAGTATCCATAGAGACTGCTTTTGGTGATAGTTCCTGCAAGTAAAACGTTGTAGCGGGATGCGCCAGGGAGCTGTATTACTTTCGGGACTGAATCTTCGTATTCACACATTAAAGCGCCAACCCTTTGTGGTCATCCTGAGGGAAGACTGTCCATTGGGATCTTCGGTTAGCCATAGGTGGGACAATTGTCTCATCCGCTGTTTTGTCAGAGAAAATCAAATAAGTAGTCATGACTCAATATGCCAGTAACAGTGAATGTAAAATTGATCGGTAAGCACTACTGGCCCATATGTATACAACACCTTTGAGCATTTAACGTCCCCACTTTCACATCTCAACTGTGAGCCTCTCAATTCGAACAGAAATGTCGCTGAAAAAGGAAATGTTGAAGGAAGTATTTTAGCGTGTCAATGTCCACCCCATATGTCTTACGTCCATTTTATTTTAGGTCTTTCACAACTGGACGCTAAGCAATCAGGAAAGATGGGATCGTTGGCAATTACGTATTACGTTCTCACAACAGCTATCGCCGTCGTTGTCAGTAATAGTCCTCATAATATCCATTTTTACAGTTCCTTGATTACTATAAGAACTCGTGGAGTAGACGGTGACCATAGTAACTATTTTCATTGAAATATTTAGGTGTAAAATTATCTCAATCCAAAGTGTACGTAAATTATTGCCATGCAGTTCTAGCTAGTCGTCTACATCGTTGCTGAAAGCGATGCTAGAACCCTCGCACTTCGGGCATATTTCATAAATTTTAAGAGCCACTTGGCTCATTTATGTAACTGTCTTGGATCCTAAATAATGAAAAGTGAGAAAACCGAGAAATAATAATCAGAGTTTCAGACAGGAATTGTTCTTGTGTTGACGATTCATCCTGGAGATCCAAGCATTAAACAGGATCTTGGTGAGGGTACTGAAGGCAAGAAAGTCAGCACACTCGATACGTTGCTGGATTTGTTGCGGTACGTCTGTCACACTTCTGAAATGCGCAGTAGAGATGAGGAAGAAAAAGAGCGAAGCAACTAGTTATTGCAAGGCTGCATACCGTTCCTGCACTTCGAGTCCTGCACTAAACCTGTCATTTGTATCAACCCCTGAGATGAAGGGAGCTACTATGACCCTGATTCGTTGTCAAAGTGGTAGGCCAGCTGCAAAGTCAGGGCTGTCTGGACGAACACGAGAGGGTGACCCAAAAATAGTAACGTCGTCAGCACTCTCCTCCGGAGCAAAGCCATTAGATAGGTTTGGAGGGGAACCATATTGGGGGCTTTGACCTCCTTTGCCTTCTTGAGCGTCTTTCGCCACAACAACTCTACCAAAGCTCTCCCGTGCCCAATATGCTCTTCCACTGTGCTAATGCTTACCCAACCCTAATGACCTTTTTCTACCTCCAAATATGAAGTCGAAAAAATAGGAAATAGTATAGCAACTAATCGGATGAGATCGTTCATTTCTAGGAACATGTTCCCGGAAAACATCGTAGCAGCCACATTCCAACAGGCCCAGACGAAATACATTACGGTACGTCCAAAGATTCTCAAAGTCAACGACACACTTCATCTGGAGATGCTCAACAATGGCACCCTTGACTACGTAAAAGCTGCTCTCGAATACAACGACGGTATCAACGTTCTGGGTGAGTTCAGCCTGGGGCCCATAAATATAGCGAATAGTCGTAAATGGTGACGAGGTTATTGATTGTAAAATAAAAAAAAAACAAGAACTAAAAGGATTAACTTCGTTTAATAGAGTTTTTACTTCTGCAGAGAAGAAAAAGCCAGTTACCGAACAAATAGAAGGTCTGAACGTCCTTGGTAAGTGGCAGAAAAACCGCTGTGAAGGTGCTTTGTGGTGTGATCACAACTGACATGTCGCGCGTCTGGGGAGAGCATAGGCGATTGGTAAATGAGCTCCATGGATAAAAAGTTAGCCAGGGGCCAGTCGATATGCCATTTCCAGTCTTTATATTTTGAATATGGGAGAATAACCTTATGAAATCGATTTTCGATCAAATAGGAATACCTACGGTGGGATGATTGAACCGCTTTTCCCCAGACGCGCGATATGGAATGTATGAACACCCAGGTGTAGAGTAACATAAGTAGAACTGAAGAGTTCACTTAGCAATCTGTTAAGTTGGCATGCTTCAGAATGGGATCTGTTTGAGTACTGTATTTAGCACCCATATGTGCCTTATTCAGGTATCATCGTGTTCTGCATTGCTCTGGGCATATCCTTGTCACAACTCGGAGCTGAAGCTGATGTGATGATCCAATTCTTCGCGATTATGGATAAAGTTATTATGAAGCTTGTAATGACTGTCATGTGGTGAGTAAGGGCCTCGATATCCACCATAGTACCTTTATTTGCGCTAGACACACCTGGAGTAACACTTAAAAAGCCCCCTTGTAATCTGGATGTTTGTTGGGACCTCATTGATCTTGTTTTTATGGAAAGATTAGGAGTTCTCTGCTGTGGACGGGGCTATCTGGTACCCCGGACATCCTCGCTGATGGATAATTTTATCAATATCCCAAAAATTTTTGTGGAATGTCAATCTCGACAAAAACACGCCCTCATAAGCAACATTCTCGACAACTTCTGAGAATATCCCGCTACTGGACCGCAGGCTAAATAAGTAGCTGCTGTTTTTCCTTATCACCGAAGCAATCATTATTAAAATCTGTACCTTTAAAAAACTGAAACGAAGTGTCAGTCACTGAAGAGATGGACCGGATGGGAATATCGATTAGTTACGCTCACGCATCCGGACGGCCATTGAATATCGGTCGCTTCTTTTTCCCCTACTTCGGATATTTTATCAAGCTTTTTTATTTGAGTCCTTTTTACGTATGAGAAGGATTGTTTTTTCTTTTTTGGAGAGGTTTGTATGATTCTCATACTATATAGGGACTATATTCAGGTACTCACCTTTCGGTATCATGTGTTTGATTATGGGAAAAATCCTTGAGATCCACGATCTTGCAGATACGGCTCNGCCATTGAATATCGGTCGCTTCTTTTTCCCCTACTTCGGATATTTTATCGAGCTTTCTTATTTGAGTCCTTTTTTTACGCATGAGAAGGATTGTTTTTCCTTTTTTGGAGAGGTTTGTATGATTCTCATACTATATAGGGACTATATTCAGGTACTCACCTTTCGGTATCATGTGTTTGATTATGGGAAAAATCCTTGAGATCCACGATCTTGCAGATACGGCTCGAATGTTGGCTATGTACATGGTCACTGTGAGTATTTCTAGTTTGATTCGAACACCCCTTACTCTCTTAGTTATTCCCGGAGGCGCTTCGATTCTTCGCAGCTGCGCGAATCGTCGTCTCGGGTGCCATGCAATGCAGAGCTTCAGTTTGAATACTTTCCCGCGCGCGGGCATTTCAATGCATTTGGAACGCGCCATCGAGAAAAGTATGAAATTTTCCTGTAGAAGTAGAAGGAGCAGAGTGGAGGTATAGGGTTAGGTGTATCGAATTCTTTCCATGTCGAAAATAGAGAAATTACAAAATAGGGCAGTTTGTTGAAGAAGATTTCTACCAGAATCATGTAGAACCGCTACAGCATTGATGTTGTATTCAAATGTCCGCGCGCGCAAAAGTATTTCAAACCGCAGAACCCTCACACGGTTCAAACTTGCCCGTCGCAGGGGGCAGTGTTGCGCGCGAGGTGTGCGACGTGACACATTTTATCGACGGTAAAATCGTTGGTCCCCGTCAACTCCAGAATTTGAACAATAATAGAATCGAAGTAAACTATGCAAACCTAGATGTGTGGGTAATGGGTTCCATCATGTGGAAATGAGTCTATGATTCAAGATTTTCACAATTTTGATGGATTTTCTGGGATACATAGTCGAACCACATGATACTACAATGCTTGTGTACTGTGAACTAGAAAATAAATAAAACCAACAATCATCGGATAAATGATGAGGTCTTTGTGAGTTAACCAATTAGTCCCGTCTAAGGGGTGCCCCCCGCCCGCGATTCCATTCCGAATCATAGTGGCATTTTGAATGCTCACTTGGCTTACACAATGACGTGCGGTGGCGGCCGATGTTCAAGCCAGTGCATTTATCCTCCCAGACGAGTCTGGTACCAATTAACCATCCCGGAGGGATGGGAGGCTTTTTTGGCCTAGGCAGATATCGATGCGGGACTCGAACCCGGGAACCAACCTGTGTGTGTGCGATAGAGCACCAGCTGCCGCTGTAAAAAATTGTAAATTAGGCCCAGGTAAGGATGAAAAGCTGTCCAAGTGAATCATAAGTACGGTTTCAGATGATTGACACTTGCTCAAGACAGCAGCAAGGTCGTTCTCANATATCGATGCGGGACTCGAACCCGGGAACCAACCTGTGTGTGTGCGATAGAGCACCAGCTGCCGCTGTAAATTAGGCCCAGATAAGGATGAAAAGCTGTCCAAGTGAATCATAAGTACGGTTTCAGATGATTGACACTTGCTCAAGACAGCAGCAAGGTCGTTCTCAGATTTCCCATGCTCACTATGGAGGGTGTAGATAGTCACATCTTCATTACTTCCATTCAAACTTATCGTGAATTTTTCTATTTAGGTATTAGCTGGTTTGGCTGTACATTCGCTTATATCCCTACCGGCCATATTTTTCCTGACAACCCGTAAAAACCCATTTACATTTATGCGTGGTCTACTTCAAGCTTGGATCACGGCCCTCGGAACGGCATCCAGGTACCGTTTCTGACTCATTTTGTTACAAATATTAGTTGAAAAGATATTCAGTAAACAAGTGAATAAATAAATTATTGAAGATGATTTCTGTTGTTCAGCTCAGCCACTTTACCGATCACCTACAATTGTTTGGAAGAAAATCTTGGAGTTGATCGAAGGGTGACACGATTTGTCCTGCCTGTCGGAGCCACTATTAATATGGTAAAATTCTGATATTTGAAGTGATTGGGATAAAACTTATAGAAGTTTAAAGGATGGAACGGCATTGTACGAAGCGGTTGCGGCCATTTTTATCGCTCAAATGAATGGAGTCAATTTATCCTTCGGCCAAGTCATCACAGTTAGGTCGGTGCTTTGAAATCTGTAGTAAAATTCGGTTTTCAGAATTGTTTCTTTCAGTCTCACTGCCACTTTGGCATCAATTGGTGCGGCATCGGTCCCGTCAGCTGGCCTGGTCACAATGCTTTTGGTGCTTACAGCAGTAGGCCTTCCAGTAAAGGACGTTTCACTGATCGTTGCTGTTGACTGGTTACTGTAAGTTGGGCTTTAACTTGAACAATTTCCGAATTTGAGCCGATAACGACGTTATTTATTNTTCGAATTTGACGTGTCATCCTTTCCGGAGTCTCTAAAAGCCGGGGAATGGTCGAGTCTACGTGATCTCAAGCGGGGATTCAAGCCATGCTCAGAGAGGGATAGTTAACTTCATCTATGCTGGGAGACGGCTCTCAGCTAAGGAGCATAGTTTTTTTATCTACGTACGCCTTAAAGGACTCATGCACCCCCGGTGCTCCTTCTCTTCTAAGGCTTGAGTTTTAAACTATATTTTCCTGAATAAGAAACAATCCTAAGCATCATTACGTACTCGTGAAGGCGGCTACCCCTCCTTGTCTGAAATCTAGTGCTAAGTGTTTTTGTGGTCCTCCTCTCTCTACGCTTACTCCAAAGTTGAACAATCTATCGAACCCAGCAGTGGAAGTTCCGGTCCGTTGAGGTTCAATTATTTAACTGTTGTAACAAATTGAATATTGATAATATGAATTACAAACTTCGAAACTTGTTGTTCAGCGATCGTATCCGCACATCGATCAACGTACTTGGGGATGCTTTCGGAGCTGGAATCGTCTATCACTACGTGAAAGAGGACCTTATCGCACATGATCGGGTTCATCCGATGCGTACGCTTTCATTGGGTGAGTTGGCCTCCATCATTCTCCTTTTTGTTCACTAACACTTGCAATCGGTCTGTTTTAGCAATGCCAGCAGGCTTTGTCGCTATTGGCAACAGAGGTGACGATGGTTTGTTTGGGATAGTTCAATTGAACCTCCTATGATCACCCACAGCTTTCTAGTAGTTTTCTCTAGGCTGCTCAATTCCAGTGTAACGCTCCTGCTTAACCACTAGTCCTATCGACTCTCTTTTGCATGATACTGTTAGGAAAAAGTCTTCTAGTAGTCTTTCAGTCAATCCATAACCTACTGTTAAGCTAGTTCTACTACCACACGAACTGTTCTTTCAACTGTTGCTGTCCCTTTGGAAAGTTTTCAGTACTGGCATAGTACTGCCGAGTTAGTCATTTGCATTTGCTGGCGCGCGGCATTTCTCAAGATTAGCTAGTTGCCCCGCCATTGAGTACGCCTCAGTCAGCTGGACTGATTAGTTGTCTCGTTGCTAGACATATGTACCTTCTAAAACCCTGAAGGCACCAAAAATATGATGGAGCTTCTGGAACATGGATTCAAGGAGTCTCATCTGATGGGAGAACATGGTCNTACTGTTAGGAAAAAGTCTTCTAGTAGTCTTTCAGTCATTCCATAACCTATTGATAAGCTAGTTCTACTACCACACGAACTATTCTTTCAACTGTTGTTGTCCCTTTGGAACGTTTTGAGTACTCGCATAGTACTGCCGAGTTAGCCATTTGCATTTGCTGACGTGCGGCATTTCTCATGATTAGCTAGTTAGCTAGTTGCCCCGCCATTGAGAATGCCTCAGTCAGCTAGACTGATTAGTTGTCTCGATGCGAGACATACCTTCTAAAACCCTGAAGGCATCAAAAATATGATGGAGCTTCTGGAACATGGATTCAAGGAGTCTCATCTGATGGGAGAACATGGTCTTAGATCGAATTTCAATTAGATTAGCAGTGGCATTTTTTCCTAGAAGCTTTATTTTGATATAAAATCGATGTGAGGTGATATCACCTGCACTCCGACATACATAAGTGAGCCCTAAGAGGGTTAGGCTTCTGAATATGACTGGCTGAATCCTCCCGTACCGAGTATGAGCAAAGCGTGGGAAGTATTTCAACGGAGTCATTGAATGCAAACAACTTCTCCTCTTTTTTGTTAGCTGCTGATTTAGGAGACAAACGTAGTGAAATGGGAAACTGCCTCAGGTTGACGAGGAAAGATGGCATCCTTCGCATTCCTTTCATCTGAAAAAAAGTTCGTCAACCCTCAAGGAACATTTCTAAAAAAAAAGCAGAAAGAGAAGTAACAAGGGAACTGCAACTGGGATCTCTTTTGTGAAGCATTCTAACTCGCTAGACGTTTTCAGATAAATTTCGGAGCGCATCAAGTAAGAAGTGCGCGATCCTTCACGTCTGACATAGTTAGCATGGAGTAATCATCGTGAGATTTGAAAAAGGGAGTGGGGATAGACGGTGGTCAAAGGGAAGGGACTAGTCAACGCAAAAGTCACGCGGGAAAGGTGCCCATTGCGAAACAAGGCGATGCCACTTCTCTGCTTGTCTGCACCCTTTCATCGGTCGGTCGGATGCCTTTTCAGGCGATTTCAATTGAGGGTCGGCACAACCTCGAGGTATTAAGGCTTCCGACCAGTTATGATAAATAATAAATGACTTTTGTGGAAAACTTCAATCGATAGAATCCAAAGCTCAAGGAGATTTTTCAAAAATTGCAACCGAACACCACTGATAGCTATTCCCCTGAGGGGAGTAGCTTCGGGTTCCGACCGTGAAATAAAATGCAACAGACGTAGATTTCTTACATACAATCTAAATCGTTTTACGTCAGCCGGCGTGCCGGCTGGCGTACTATAATAGCAGCCCCTGAGTGTGCGCGGGAATGGGCGTAGCGTGCGTATAGTGTTGCCCCTTTTGCGGTCCGGTAGGTTTTTCAGGGCGCGAGCAATCTGAAAAAATGCTTTCCATATGGAACAAATGTTGTAAGGAAGATCGCAAGTGTTAAAGCTCTTCCTGGTCATTTCGTCATTGTTTTTCTGTAGCTTGCTAGTGATACAACTCATTTCTATGCTTACTGTATGTGTTCCTATGGCAAGCAAAATAGGTAATTAGTTTAACTAATGAACTGGGAAGTTATCTCCTCTGCATGTCGTTTTTTTCTATCGGTTAGGTTCTGCTTCCTCTTATAAAAAAATCGTTTTTTCAGAGTTGCCTGAGGAAAAGCAGCCACTTCATGGTAACTACAGCAGTGTGCCGACGGATGAGAAACGGCCATGAGACGTTTCTTCATGATCCCTTCTTACCCACTGACATGACATTTGGTTTCCTTTTGATGTTCCCTTAATGTCGATGTTTCAGCCTTCCAAGGCCCCTACAGCTAATTTTGGCTAGGGAAATGATAATAAACAAGTTCTCCGGGGTCTTTATATAAAACCATTGCATACAAAAGTTTGTTTTCTAAAAAGTTTGAAAGAATTTGTCAAGGAAGGCTAGAACATCTTCGGGAGCTAAAGTGTTGAAGGCCTACTTGGAGCTGCTACCGAAGCTGGACACCACAAAAGGACCACTCTTTCCCTTAACCATAACATGACATTTTTACCCGTTTACCAGGACATCATTTCGAGCAATATCTCCTTATCTACCCTCCCAGAATGTTTCAGTACGTTATTTTCCCGTACTGTGGTCATTTTTCGTTGACGTTCTTCTCGAAAAACGCAGTGTTGTTGTGAACGAAGAGCTTGACACATGTCATCTATCTCAAATTGATTTTTCCCTTTCTGAACGTTTTCTTTTAGTGTATTAGCCGATTTTAGGTGCATGTTATCACGTTTGTTTTTCTCGAATACTATTTTTATACGGTATGTTGGATTCGACGTCTCCCATTACCATTGTCCTAGATACTATACTCCGGTTCGAAACACCTCCATCCCCGTGAATGTGTGTACACAAATTCTTACTTAGAATTTAATAAACATTTTGAAACTTTATTGCATTATACAAAAACGGCGGTTCATGGTTTGCTTCCACACGTGTGATCTAGGATGATCAAATCCTGGATCGATAGTGCCCAGCGCCCAAGCTGACTAAAGCTTCCATGCTCCCTTGATCCAAAGAATTTAATCGTTTTGTCTGGATAGAAAAAAGCAATAAGTAGTGGTAGTGATAGTACTGATTTCTACTTCGGCTAACCTTCGTAATTCATTGGATAGGTCAGATAGGTTTGTATAGACCACCACTGAATTTTGTATGAAACTCAAGTGCGTGGCGTATCCTGAAAGCAATATTAGTCAGTGCTTACAACTCTTCCCGATCACCTTTACCGCATGATTCTAAATTCCTTTAGAGGTTGTACTGTCCATAAAAGCCAGGTCAGCAACGGACAGCTCCTTAAATATGGAAGACAGAAATGCGTTACGGAATCTCTACCATAGCTTCCTTTCAAGAGCCTTTGAGTAAGTCATACATACATCTTATATGGCTGACTTTTGATAGATTAACTAGTATATTTTTGTAGTTGGTGAAGCGCTGAAAACTCCCTATCACACTCGCGGTCCGGAGGCTAATCCCAATCAAACTTGATTCCGGTCTAGGTGAACCGAGTCTCTATCCCTACGGTACCAGACTCGTCAGAAGGGTCATAGTGCTGACTCGTACATTGACCATCGCAATTCGTTCCATAGGGTACCATGGCTCCATGAGGACCCACTGCGATTCTGACCGGGAATCGAATGCGGGGCGCAACTGGGTTGAAAGAAGACTCTTTATCGGCCCTATGAACATAGTTAATCCAAACAGACCATTCAAAACTGAATAATTGAAGACATGTTCGATTCTGGTTAATCGCTACTGTTCGATGGCTACGTGGATGCCTTTGCATGAGCGGAGATGGGCATTGTAGGAAGTGGGCGTTAATTGGCTCCCAATAACGCGACATCAGGCAGGTTTCTAATTGCTGTCCGGATGTATTCGATGACGTTTTCCGCTGATGGATTCACGGTCCAGTGATGATTTGGCTATGCCGTTGCGACGAACTTCTAGAGTTTTTCACAACACCCGGAAAGTTCTCTGCTATCGTTATCAACAAACAAAAAAAATACAAACAAATCCTGACTCTTGGAATAGCAAATCGATGGATTGCTACAAATTTTGATGGTTCTCAAGCCGCTAGGTTTACGTAGTTCGAGCTTAACTAGAATTTCGCTCCTGAGGAGCCGACTCCCTTGACGTCTCTCTCTGACTAGCGCCCTCTTCAGTATTTTCACCAGAAGAAGCCCACTGATTGGCGGAGTAGGCTTTTATTGGCGAAGTGGAGGGGGGGGGGAGACAGAG